TAGAGGGGGAGAGAGAGCGAGGGGTAGAGGGGGAGAGATAGAGAAGGGTAGAGGGGGAGAGGAAGTGAAGGGTAGAGGGGGAGAGGAAGTGAAGGGGTGTGTGACAGCAGCAGTAACACTAGCAGCAGCTCTCCTGCACTCGACAAAGCACGTGATACGGAATAACAGCTAGGGGCTCTCCATCTCAACAATAACGACATGCCGGCTCACCAGGTGTCTCTGCCGTCTACACAACATCTCGGAGAGCGATTGTATCAGATGCTGGATTTGCATTTAGATGTTATGGCGGAACTAACGATGTGTTAATTGTTTGTCATGGCAACAGAAAGTCTCATCATCTTTCTCGCTTACTCCACCATTCCCATGGCAACTTTGCTACATTGCTAGGCATGTATGTTTTCTGCTTTACGTTAACGTCTTTATTTCTGACGTGATCAGCTGGATCGAGAATAGGTCATGTTCACTATGACATCACGCTGACAGGGAGGGATGTACAGTCTGCAGTGAGTGGATCGGCCCTGAGCGCATTTATTTCTTACCACAATTATTTCTTACTTGCGTTGTTTTTTGGCTAATATATTAGATGGGAACTAGCGGTATTATTGCCATATATGTACAGTTGCTATGGTAACATTGTGGTTGTCACACTTACCTGTAGAGGGCGTTGTAACAGAGCATCGCACGAGGTCCATTGCTATCCTCTTCCTCTTCCATCCATCTCTACCATTGCTACCCTCCTCCTCTTCCATACTTCTCTCCACCCTGTGTTCGCACCCGGCGGTACTCACTAACATGCCCTTGCTGTGGTCTGCACCACATGCCTTGCCTTCACAGATACGAAAATGTATTATTCAGGGACCTTCAGTTGACCTTCTATTTGATCGTATATTCTTGGTGCCACCATGGTTGCGTGAGACAATTGTGTCGGTGTGTGGGTTAACACGTGAAGATTATGATTCGCTCCTCCTCCAATCATGTTTCCACGGTGGCTGAGGTGACATCATGGTCGGTTGTCACCATCACCATGGTTACGGACACTCAGTAGAACACGTGTAAGGCAAGGTCAATCCAAGGTTATATGCTGACTACGACACGTATCGTGTCGGCTGTGTGTATGTAGAGGGCGCTGTTATCAGATCGACGTCATGGTTGCTACAGATGCTGTAACGAATGGCGACAATTCTGTTTTTTTTGTTTTATTTGGTGTCTGAGTTTATGGTGCTGGAATAAATTTGGGCGCACCTGCGCATATGATATAAACTACTCTATGGTTCTTGTATTCTGCCATTTATGTTTAACAATGCAACGTAGCAGTATAAAGTGTGACACTCACTTGTTCAGTGTCTTCTGCAGTTGTAAACAAGTTATCATTCTTTATACTAAACATGTAACGTTGTCACTTTCACATTTGTAGCAGCAGAAGCTTCTTTACCTAACGATTGTAATGAAATAATTAGATTAATTGATTAAATTACTATACCCAACACTGCATGAGGTTCCCTGTACAGAGGAGTAGAGCTTCAAGTGTGTAATGCAGGGTCAAGTAAGAAGTACAGGTGTGTAGTGCAGGGTCAAGTAAGAAGTACAGGTGTGTAGTGCAGGGTCAAGTAAGAAGTACAGGTGTGTTTAAAATAATAACAATAACGAATTAGTTTTTGTTCATCAACATAAATAACTGAACTGTATTAGTTTCATTATTAACACGTAACTCTGTCGTACATGATTAGATACTGACAATTTGTGCTTTACATGGTACGACGAACATGATAAATAGTTGAATGATAAATGCACGAACAAGAAACGCTACGTACGTGAACAATATATATCTGCAGTGTGAACAACAAGAAACACCACGTACGTGAACAACACATATCTGCAGTGTGAACAACAAGAAACACCACGTACG